GTTTGGCTATTTCAACCGCGCTTCGGAACTTTGGGGAGGGATGGGGGTTCGTGTCTTGCTGGTTCGAGAGCATTCGGGAACGAGCCCTGTAAACCATTTTCTTTTTGGTTTCCAAGAGGATCGCGGGAAAACGTTCATTCCCACCCCTTTTTGAGAGCCGGGAAGCTGATATGCGATCGAAGGTGATTTGCTCGCGCACACAGGCTGCCACAGCAAGTCCAAATGTGCCATGGTCAAAACTCATGTGGACCATGCTTGTGGCTCCTTCACAGGAAGCCTGAGATAATGGTGGCCGAATCCCAAATTTAAGGGGTTAGCAGGCAACGGGCGTTTTGACCCCGGCACAAGTACGAGCCCGAGCAGCTCATCTCGCGCTCGTTGTCCGCGAACTCGAAGCTCCACTGGGAGTCCCGAAGGTCGAGGGGCCAGGCAGAGACGCGGCAGTTGCCGCCTGCAGTCGCAAAGTTGTGAGCCTTGAACAAGAATCCAACTCAGATTTGGCTGTGGCTCAAACAACCGGTACCCAAAATGGAACGCTGGTAAGTGGAAACATGGACCAAAACCTGCGTAGCCCCTCCTGTTTAATTTTGAGCCATAGCCATTTGCCACGGTCAAAGCTTCTTACGTGGGCCAGGGTCTGTTGACCATGGCATGTAAGCGACTCAAAAATGGGACGGCGAGATGGGACTTTGGGCGCCTTTTTCGGGGAGGCCGGTCTTGGGTTTTCCAATGTTGACCCAGGATTAATAAATCCGTCCCATTATCAGGGAGGTGTTCCCTCCAAAAGTGATGAATCCCCACTAAAAGGAGACACCCCCCAGGGGTTTATTAATCCGGGGTTAACACTAAGACAAACTAGAAGGGCGGGTGGCCCGAGAACCGTGTGCGTTGTCAATGAGGCTGCGCCGCACAGACGTGCCCCACGTCTTGTGCAATTTTTCTGCGCAACTTCTCGTGCAAATTATCCTGAACAACTTGGCGCGCGGATGATCTTGTGCGGTTGCTTTTTTATTGTGCGCATTCTCTGCACACGCTCCCTCATGTAAGTGCGCTCGCGCAAGCTCTCTCAGCTTGTCTGCTAATAATCACGTTGTGCCATGTCTCTCATGCAACCACTCTGTAAGACTTCTGTAGAACGATTACCTTTGCAAACTCTCTAGTACAATTGTGTTTTGCACAAGTTCCACGGTTCGATGACGCCTCGAACAATTGCATTTGCTGTGTGTGTTTACACATCGACACTCACACAAAGGCTCGGTGTCATTTTCACAGAGCGGGTGCGGAGTCCGGACCCTTCGCCCTTGACCCGGAAGAGTATCTCTCTCTAGCGCAAGAGTCTTCGCGCCAGCGTGTTTGTGCAAGTCACGCAAGCTCTCTTGGGCGTCTTGCGCAAGTTCTCTTGTGCCAGTTCTAGTGCACAGTTTGCTCTTGCAAGTTCTCTCACCTTCTCTTCTGCAATCTCTTGTGCGCATTCTCTGTGCAGGTTCGTACCCGAGGCACCCTTCGCAGTGCTTTGGGCGCAAGCGAGGTTCGCAACCCAAAGGAGTCCATGCTAGCATGAGAGCGGGACATGGTCACGTCAATGAGAGGGGTAGGAATGCTACAAATGCTTTCCAATAGGCAACGCCCAAACAGACTTGAGCCAACATGGCAGGGTGCATGTTGGCTCATATTGGTGATTTATAGAATGGTGCCGCTACGCTCTTCCATCAGAAACAAAAAAATCCCACCACCCCCACCCACCTCACCCCCCCCACCCCCCCCCACCACCCCCCGCCCCCACCACCCGCCCCCCCCCACCCCCCGCCCCCACCCCACCCCCCCCCCACCCGCCCCACCCCACCCCCCCCCCCACCACCGCCTTCGGCCACCATGACGAGGCCGGTGTCTGCCGACATCGCGATCCGCCCTCCGCCTGGCAAAACCGCCGAGTCCATCGGTCAAAAACCGCCGAGTCCATCGGCGGAAAAGCGGTTTGCGCTCGGGAGGCCGAAGGGAAAACCCGCCACTTGGGGGTCTCAAAAACGACAAACCCACCACTTGGGGTCTCAAAAAACGACAAGTCTGACCCCAATTCAAGGGAAGAGCGTGTCTTTCACCCAACTCTACCCGCAAGACTGTGGACAAACTGTCGATTTGTGGCCAGCTCAACTGGGTTTACCCAGGAAGCTTGCTTTGCGAGGGTCCTGACTTTCCATTCTGCGATCGAATTCTGCAGATACGAACGGAATTACGTGCCGCAAGTTTCTGCCCTGAGGGTAGACTCCTTTCCCGAGAGTGAATTATGACGCGCATGAAACCGACCACTTGGAAGATTCCCTGTGACGCAGCCAAATCTCTTAACCTCCAAAACCCAGGGGGAAATCAAAGTTGCAGTCGTTGGACTCTCCCGTGCCCCAAAACGTTCAAACGCTTGAAAAGGCCACACTTGCAGTGAGAAATCCATCTCAACAGTGAGAAGTGGGACCCGTGAACACGAGCCGCATCCCGCATCCCGAGTGGAAAATCCCCGTAAGATCGGTGAACAATCCCGGCCTAGCAGCTCAAAGGAGGTCGCTGGGGACTGGGCGTCCACAAAATATCCTGCCACGTCCCAGAGGTCCGCGGAGCCCTCGTAGTTTCCTGGGCTCGAATCGGTGCCTGGGCAACCTCCTACAGGACATAGGCCAAAACCGCCCACGAATCACTGGGATTTGTAGAATATGTCCTGCTGGTTTCTTGGACTGCGGCTCTTCTGGCTACGCGGCTTGTGGTTCTTCTCAGATGGTTCTAAGTTATAAGGGTTGGTATAGGTCTTCCAGCAGAACCTCCTACTTTCACTTTGGCTCTTTGAAGGGTTCGAACTGCTGCATCAATCTGAAGTTTGGTTGAGGGCCAAGTTTGCCGAGTCAAGTCTGGCAGGAGAACACTAAACCCTAGCCTAGAAACCTGAGAATCGGTTTTAGGGGAACCGCCAAATTCTGTCGCCTGTCGCCTCTTTGGTGCTTTCAGTCTGTCAAGTCGTTAAACTGGGGGACACGGTGCCGAAAGCGCCTCAAAGCGCCTTGATCCCGACAAGCAAACACAAAACCAAAACCAAAGAACTTGCGAATGGCTGCTTGCTTCCCGTTCTCTCGTTGTGTCTTCAATTTGCTTATTTCTTGTGTCTTCATGCATTTCTTAATTTCTGTCTTTCTTTCTTCCTGCATTTCTTCACTGAGTTGTTGCTATTTCCTTTCTGCCTCCCTCCCTCCCTCCCTCGCTCTCTCTCTCTCTCTCTCTCTCTCTCTTTCTCTCTCTTTCTCCGAACCTGCTCTCTAAGTCACATGGCGGTGGGATTCAAACCAATGGGATCCCATTTTGGGGGTTTTCGGTGCACTGCCCATTTTAGAACCGATTTTAGTGGTTGGATTGGGATGTTCACTGGGGGTACGATTTGGATTTTGACCCATGGCCACATGCCGCTGGTCACGTGGCGGGGGCCTCTTTGCTACCAAGGCGTCCAGCCAGCAGCCAGCTGCCACATGGGGAGAATCGAAGATATCTCACCGCCCAGAAGGCGAACCTGGCACCCACTTCTTTTGGCCCATCAAGGCATCCATGGACTCTCCGTCGGTGGTTTGGATTGGTGGAGGTAGGGGAGGCCTTCCGCGTTTCTGTTTAAGGACCAGGACTTCAAACCCCTCGGGAAGAAACAATAAAACCCACGCGAAAATCAAGTGGAAGGTGACCAGCATTTCCTGAAGCCTTCGGCAATAAACATCCCCGAAGGTGTTGAAGGATGATGTGAACGAGGTCGTTTTTGGTGACCACCTCACCCTTTGGACCGCATGTGGTGAGGGATCGCGGGCAGGACTTGGGCTGGTACTGCTCCGCTGGCTTTGGATCATGGGGCACGTGCCACAAGAGCTAAATCTGTTCAAATGAACAAGCCATGGTCCTATGGTTGCTTCAAAGGAAGCCAAAAGCAGGTTGTTTAAAGACTTTGGGGGTGTGTCAAACAAAGTGGGTGTGGAATTTGTGGACACCCTTTTTGCGCGGGTGTTTTCTGTTTTTCAGGGAAGGGCGGGCGGGGGGGGATGGCAGGTTGTGCTCTTCTATCACAAGTAAGGGCTTGCGACCAGACAAGGCACCAAAAACAGCTTAAAACGGCCCTTTGAATGTTGAGCGTGCTTCAAGTAAGTCACCCAGTTGACGTGCAACACGTGTCCCAACCTGGGCTTGCAAGGAACCCCAAAGGAGACTGCCTGTGCGTCAAGCAAGGTATCGGACAACCCAACACTTTGATGTCCCTTTAAAACTATCCCAAAACAGGGTAGCCTCACAAAAAAAAGACAGCTGCAACAAGTTCATATAAGCATGGGCTTTCAAGAAAACCCACCAGGAAAAAGAAAGAAGAGATGGGTTCGCCCCTTCACTCCAGCGCCATGTCGAGTCGAGCCTTCTTCGAAGCGGCACCTCCTCATGCTCCACGTGGCGCCAGGAGGTGATGGCGCCTGCCCTGAGACGCTGAGTGCGCCGGTGCGCCGCCGCGCGGCAAAAGGCGCACCGTCAGGGTGCTCCACGTGTCTCTCAAAGACTGTTGCGACATTCGCTTCTCGCACCGTGCTAAGAAACCCTGGTGAATGATTCGCCGAAAATACCAACAAACGTTCTGGTGTCGACCATGGTTTCAAAGTGGTGCGGGATGTCGTCCATCAGTAGGGGGCCCCTAAATCTTAAAATTGAATTCTTTGCTTACCAAAAGGGGCTCGCCATCTTGAGAAACTCCCTGGGACCTCCAGAGGAGCGAGAACCGAAGCGGGTAGCAGCTGCGTAGGTGTAAAAACCCAAGAAATTAGGGAATTGAGTTGCGATTGAAGAAGTCTCTGGTTGGAAGTGCCATGAAAGCATGCAAAGGACCCAAAAATACAGATGGGTCTCGTTTGAACATGTTAAGACCACCACGCTGTCCAAGCAACCTCTTGGTTTCCCTCAAAAGGCGTCTGGGGTTTGGCTGGGTGTTCCACCGTGTGTAGATTAAATCCAGGGCAGGCAGACTAACCCCTGTTCCCCCACAGATAAACAAGCTTACAAGCTACTAAGTAGGTTGAACACCCAAGTGTGTGTTCAACACTCTCAATCCAAGCTGCTCAGAGCCCGCTACGAGCCACGTCTGAGTGGGCGCAAACTCCACTGCCAAGATGCCTGGGACTCGGGTTGCGTCTGCCTTCAACACCCAAGTTGATCGAGGTTAACAGGGTTCTTTGAACAAGGTAATGCGTCAAAAGCCACACAGTTACGTGTCAAAATGGAGGGACGGCAACGGTCCCTTTACCTTCTCTTGAAAATCCGAGGTGAAAAGAGCACTGCAATTCCTGAAAGGATACTTGCACAATCCGAAATCAGGTTAGGTGAACTGTTGGCTGGCAATATGTCCTTTAAGGGACTCTGCTTAATGGGGAATGGCTTCCCCAAAACACCGGGTATTTTGCTCGGCCATTTCATCCATGCCATGTTGCCGTGTCTTCCCCGGGCTTGCCGATGGAAAAACAGTCGGCCAGCTGACCACTCTTGATTTAATGAACGCCCGAAACCCGTTAACTTTTAGTACCAAGATGTTATACAGGTTTATAGACCCCAGTGCTTTCAGCCACCACAGTTGGTAAGGGGAAAGCATCGTAAAACCTAGAGGCCTAGAGGTAAGAAACCCTGGTTACCGTACTACTGAGTTACTTCAGTTGTAACTGGAAGCACTGGGGGCCTTCGTGAAATGCCCTTCTTGGACTCGGTTTGAGCGCTCATTTGCGGCCCTGGCACGTGAGATCTGAGAATAGATCCGAGTTGGCGTGTCCGGACTCTTCCTGAAGTTTCGGAAAAACGCGGCGTGAAACTCCCCTCCCACGAGTGTGAGTCGCATGCATTCTTTGGCGTGTGTTTGTAAGGGACCCAAAAAAAATGGTTGGAAAAGGGAAACCAGAATGAAAACCGAAGCCATGTTGTGGGTCCCCTAAAGAAGGATATCCCCCTTTCTGTTGTCCTCTTCCGTCGGGCACCGAAACCCCGTGTTCGCTCAGCTTTCAGGCTTCTGATTCAGGCTTCTGATTCAGGCTTCTGATTCAAGTTCTGCCAAGCGGCCCACGCACGTCCCACAGAATCAGTTCTTGGCTGCATGCATGGCACTGGAAAAGCACCCACAGCGCATCCGAAACCCGTTGCCTGACTTTGGGTACCGAAAAATGTCTTTCTTTGGCCACACCATAACCCCTACGAAAATCGCAAAGGTAGAAACCCTAACAAAAAGGCAACAACACGGGTTTTGGGCACTGCTCAACTGCGAACAACACGTCCTGCGCAAAACCCCTGGAAAAGAAGAGGGACACTCGAAGTAAATTGGTTGGGATACTCAAGTCGCTGGCTTTGCTGTTGAGTTGGCTTGCCAAACACAGGCAGCATGCTCGTTGTGTTGAATGTCGCTGGGGCTGCCCGGAACCGTTCGTCGTCCACCTTGCCACCTTGCCAAAGGTGGAACCTTTGCCCGATGTGTGCGGATCTATGGCAACAGTGTGGACCATAACCCTTCCTGTGACACCAAAGCGGTTGCACTGAAACTCACTTCACACTCCCCTCAGAAACTGGTAAAGCCAAAAGCCAATCGAGTCCAGGGCGGGCACTCCCCTCAGAAACTGGTCCAGCCAAAAGCCAACCAATCGAATCCAGGGCGCTGCTGGTGTCCGAATAGTCCCTAAAGGTGCTGACCCCCATCCAGCGGTTGCCCTTGCACAGCGCAAGGGCCGTGATGTCGAAGCCCCGGCCTGATGCAAGGAGTCCACCGGCCGAATCGGGCTAAAAATGGGTTTGTCGGCCTTTTTTGGTTGAAGGTACCCTTTTTTGGTACCCTGTTTGGTGGTTTCAAAGCGAAATCAAGAGGAAAACCACCACAATAGCACGGTACCAATGGCATTGGGGCGAGCCTGGGTGTTCGGGCTCGGGGAGAAGGTCCACAAAGTTCCCTCAACGCAACAGCGACAGGGGTCCATGGATCTAGGTGATATGCCCCAGATCAACTGGATATCAGCTAGGATATGGGCATCTGTTTCTTTGAGAGCACCCTTTCTTGGGTTGCCTTCAAAACCACGCAATTTGGTGGTTACCCCCCGGGATTTTGACACCAAACCCATATTATCGGGTTGCTCCAACTCGCGCTTCTGGTCGGTATGAGGCGCCACCCGCCCATTTCACCATGTTGTAGCTCCACTTCGGGTTCGCGAACTCCTTGCGGCCGATCGCGGCGGTTACAACTAGAACCTGGACTCAGAGCTCGGGGTCGAGGATCCTCCGGGTAAAAACGATCGTATGGAATTCATCAACTCGATTGAGTTATCAGATGTCCAGAATGAATTTCAGATCGAAAAAACATGTTGCCCACCCTCGTTTGGTTGTCATGGGAAACTTCAGCATGACACAGGTGATCCGGATCCCCTATGGGACACCGATCCAAATCAACCAGAGGCTTATTCCGGGGATTGATTGGATGTCCGGCCAAGTAGCCACTTGGATTTTATCCGCTATGTTTAAAAAAATACTCCACGATATTTAAGACTTTGGGGAATTGGGCTGCAATGTTCACTTCAGATTCCGGAGGACCAAGCAACAAATATTTGATTCGTCTGACTAGTAGGGTCCTCCTGATCAATCGAAGTTTAAAAAAAGTTCCCATGCCACAAAGGATCCGGCGAAGAATCAGCCTTAAAGAAGGGCTGACTCCCAGTGCCGAAAACCCATATGAAATGGATTTCAATGGTGAAGGAAAATCGATCCAAACGGAAATCTGTCATGCTCAAAGGAGCCGGAACCAAAAAAAGCAGCCAAATACAACTGTTTTGCTGTGGGTCACTAAAGAATCGCTACCGCCAGGGCCTAAACCGCGACTCGAAACCCTAGAAGCTTGGTGCGAAGTGGATTCTGTACATCCACAGTATCTCCTAGGCTCGTTCCATCATGTCGAAGCTTGCTTTGACGAAACCACGCCTCACCTCGAAACCGAACGGCGCCCACCACATGTGGATGAAGCCATCTTGCGTTCCTCGGGCGCGCAAAGTTCGAATGGGAGCACAAAGCCCATAGACGGGCGTTTCTACCAAAATGGGCTAAGCAAAAGTGTTTGTTTTGAAAAAGGAACAAAGAACGAGTAAATAGGTAATCCACCAACCAACCAACGAACCAGACAGACAGACAGACAGACGGACAGACAGACAGACGGACGGACAGACAGACAGACGGACGGACGGACAGACAAGCAAGCAAGCAAGCAAACAAACAAATAAATACATAAACAAATAAATACAAACAAATAAGTAAAGCAACAAGTTAATCTATTAATTAATCGATTCATTAAGTGGTTAATCAATTAGTTAGTCAAGCACGGTACTAATACATATTCATAATACATACAATTATGAATAACATACCAATACACAACATCAACACACATCATAACATAGAGATGAATGAATAAAACAAACAAAGAAACAAAGAAACAAACAAACAAACAAACAAACAAACAAACAAACAAACAACCAAACAAACAAACAACCAAACAAACAAACGAACAAACAAACAAACAAACAAACAAACAAACAAACAGTGAAGCACAAAAGATTAAATGTAATATCTCTATGTATATACCCTCCCACCAATTAACATGGAACCTGACGTTCGCCGGGTCCTGGTTGGGACCAGTTTCCTTTTAAAGGGACCGGGTCCCGAACGTCAGGTCCCATGTCCAAAAGAGTGGGAGAGTACATAGAAATATATAAGCAAGCCACCTTCCAAATTGGCCAATCGGTTTTGGAGCGCCGACTTGTTTGCACCAAACGAGCGGGGGGTCCCCTCAAATTAGCGGATTTCTGGGCTGTCCGTTTTCAGATCCCCTACTAAAAGTGACTCACTTGGAGTGTGCTAAATGGAAGCCCAGCCACTAAACCAACTACAAAAGCTAAAAAGTTATGGGGACCAAGTGTGGGTTCCGATGTTTCAGCCGTGTGTGAAGCGAGACCTAGCTGTTCAGGCGCCTGGCGCCTCAGAAAAAGAACCATCGCGGAAAATCACAAAACGGGTCACTCCCACTACTTGAACTCACTTTGAACGGGCTCAAGGATACTCCAAACCATAAAGACCTCGCAAATGGCACGGGAAGACAAGCAGCGGGCAACGGGCTGGCCCATGTGAGTTGTACTCAACACCCGGTATTAAAAATGGTCTACCCTGACCTATGTAAAGAATGAAGAAGGCGGCCGCACAAATGGTTGACTCGTGTTTCTTTTGAGAAACCCCACGCAAGCCGCAACTTCAGTCGAGAGTCCCGTGGCCAACCACTCACCCTCTGAGTCCATAAGCTCCACCGTGGAGTTGTGACTCAGCGTCGCTGTGGGAGCGGACCTCAGCTTCAGCGCTTCAGCGCTTCTGCTCTTGGCACCACGGCCTCAAACGACTAAAGCGGAGACTTAGGGAAGATGTGTCGCAACCCATCTTCTTCAGGGCATTGCTTGTTGTGGGGTTGCAACTCAAACGGCTGTCCCTGGTTGGGTTTGGAGGGAAACCCGAAAGAAACCCACGCGGCTCCCTTTGGGAGACCAGAAGCCAACTGGTCGATTCAAGGGGCGTCCGCGTCCCATGTCAGGGCCCAAAGCGCGGGCTTTCATTCATGTTGATATCTCTTTGCATGAAAATCAGTGGCTCCAAAGGCCTCAAAAACAAGGGGTGGCAAACACCTCTTCATGCTGAACCAAGGGTGGCCTCAAAGAAACACCCCTTGAATCCGGGTTCTGCTATCCAGGGTAAACAAGTAAACGGTCCCTACAAAGGCTGGCGCAAGGGACGCTAAGCCAGGGGCGCATTGATCGTCCACACAAGTACCTGAGGCGCCATCTGCCGCATCAAAAATGCGTGCCCTTGCTTGGAGTGAACGAATGGATCCCCGGCAGATCAAACATATGACATTCACCCGGACACTTGATCTGCCATGGCACGTCCTTCCCTTCTATCAGTGCGATGGTGAAGGGATTCATTACCTCAGTTCCGCCAAGGCAGTGGTTGCTTCCCTAGAACCCATGTTGATCACGGACAGGTCTTGCTTTCTTAAGCCGCGGCACCTCTAATCCTTTCACAGGGCCAGGCTGCTTCAGGCACTGCCACGGTTCCGCCTACGCGTGCTTCGTACAGACCGCGCTTCTCAAGTCTTGGGAACCCTGCAGCTGGTAGGTGTCCTTCTGAATTCCTAAAACCATCCAGAAAGCCATCCCCTATGCAGAAAAAACATCAATCTGTTTAGAGCAACTAACACACTGGGCTGCCACAACGCAGCTAAGCAGCTGGAGGAAAGACATGTTGGGCACAGCTCATCGCCTCTTCCCCTTGCCTCCGCCCTCATGGCGCAATTCGGTCTTGCCGGCTTGCCCTCCTGGCCTCCGGGATGCACGAGGCGCTCGTCGCGTTGACGAAACACGTGGGCGCTCGCCAGATGCAAAAGGCATCGTCATGAGCTGTCACAACCCAATCGCCACTTGGACTCGCCTCAGTGGAGCGTAAAATCTGGAGAAAGAGCTTTGCAAAAGTTTGAGAGAGTCACGTGTGACTCTCTCACCATTCCCTCAACCAGATTCTAGCAGTTAACCCCCCAGTTGCCATTTTCGTGTTGGAGTCAAAGCCCACATTTATGGACTCAGGGAGTCTTCGGTAGGAGCCGAGCACCCGAAATCGAGCCAAGTTGCCTCCAAGTGCTCCACGCAAGCGTCGCCATTCTGGTGGGTCAAGGCGAGCACGGGCTCCTTTGGCACCTTCCAATTCACCTCGTGACCCACGACCTCTCCTTAGCTTTGCTGAAAGCCCGGCGCCATCAAAGCACGACTGGCACGTTTTTGACGCGAGCACTGGAAACCCAGGCGCCGTGCAAACACCAGCTGCACACGCGACACGAGTTCTCGCAGCCGTCCGGACAAAGGCTGTTGCAGCAAGAGGACACCCCCAAATGGAAACGAATGCTTGAAGTCGAAAAAGGTCTTATAGGAGGATCATGGATAGTTTGCAAGTAACCGCACGTGGCCATGATTGATGTCCACCTTGTAAACGGTGGTGTCCCTTTATGTTGGTGGAAAAAGCCATGTTTCAAATGGTTGCAAAATGAAGATCTTTTAAGGAGCCCTCCCAAAATGGTTGGCTTCCTCTCTTTCCCAAATGCCCAGTGCATCACCCTTGGGCCACAATCCAACAGGCTCACTGGGCCGCAGGAATTCATTTCCCTTGTGACTAAACAGGGCAACCATGTGTTGAAAAGTTGTCCCAATTTCACGTGAGAGACCACCTGGGTGTTCAGAGTTCAACCAATTTGCCTTAAAAGAGCACCTACGTTTGCAAAGCTCAAAACGTTGACCAAAAAGGACACCGCTGCTTTCAAGTGTCCAAAATGTTTGAGCCCTGTCTCCAAGTTGCCAACTAATCTGGCCTAAAAGGACTCCTACCCTCCCCTCCCTCCAGCAACCATGAAAGACCTTCCCCACCCCCCACCCCACCCCAAACCCGAGGTACGATTCCCCCTTGACCGCGCCTTGCGTCTATACTGCAGACGTGCAACCAAGAAATCGGGTTCCCCTGTTTGCACACAGACAGCTAGGTGAAAGTCAATGGCACGAGTCTAGCAGGTTGATTTAGTTAGCCCCTTTACCTACCTACATCCGGGAATTGTGCCAGCATTCGCCCTGCACCCACATGCCTCTGAAAAATGTAATTTTGCTGAGGCTTGGTACCCGTTTTGCGGTCCGCTAGGGAAACCAAAAGGAAAAACACCCACTTTGGGGGTCCCGTCCCTTATGTTGACACATATGACAAGTGGCCAAACAATTACCTACTAAGAGTACCTTCCTAGAATCATTGGTTTTCAAGCACCCTCGACGCCCCATTCAAATGTATTTTGACGCCTATATTAATCAACCCCAGTTTACTAGTAGTAGGGGGGTCATCACTTTTGGAGGGGCTTTCCCCCACCCCCCTTTTTCAGAAAATTGGGTTGATTCATATGGCTGTGGGTCAAAAATAGGTGCCCATGGAACCCTGCGAAATGGAAACAAGGACTAAAACCTGCGGTCCCCTGGTGGATTAATTTTGACCCATACCCACATGGGGTCACCATGCCCCATCCGCCTTTCCTTTGGCGGCCAAGGCCTCGGCCCCTGCCGAGCCGCTCAGCTCCGCCGAGGCCCGGCAAAAGCAAAAGACGGAAACCGCTGCCAGGGCCAGGCCCGACATCTGAGCGCGAAGCGCGCGGTTTGGAGATAGCAAATGTGTGGATCCCCTGTTGGATATATGAAAAGAGTACCAAAATATTCCTAAGAAAGGATAAAAACAAGGGCTAGAAGAGGTGAAATCCACAAAAAGCGCATCCAAACCGGTTTCCAGACTCAAGTGGGCTAGAACCATGGCTAGTGGTGGATTCTATTCCCTTACAATAAACATGTTGGATGTTCAACCCACTTAAGCGGGCATTGCCACCCTTGGTATGACAACAAACACCGTTGTGTTTGCTTGCAGCCCCCTAAAACTTAACAGAGTCAACAACAAACAATAAACAGTGAAGTGGGTTATGACCCTGGTTGGCAGACTGACCGGGTTAGCAACCTGATATGACCATTGCTACAACCGATTAAGTAGATGTGGGCGTGTCCTTTTCTTGCTGGTTCGATAGGTAGGGCCTGAGGACTAAGTGTTGGGACTACCTCACAAGTTGTTGGCATTCCCACCGAAACTGTGTCCACATTCAGGCTCTCCCAATCAACCTCGAGCCTGCGGTTCCAGTTTCGAGGGGTAGCCCTTATTCGAGGGGTAGTTGTGGCGCACATTAAAACCATGTTTGTAAATATTGCAAGACAAAACAAATCCGATCAAAACAGAGACTCGTTTAGCCCCAGGCTATCCTGTCTAGGGTTCAAGAAGAGTGAAACTTCCGATTTTGGAAGGTTCCCGGTCATGCTGTGTCTGCTGCAGAATCCCCATCCAGGCATATTGGTAAAGGGAAGCCATTTAAATCCTGCTAAATATAGGAGCCTAAATAATTAGAATGGGGTTGTGTGGTATTGTTCAAACGCATTTGGTCATGATTCTAGGAGTAAAGTAGTAATTATTCAGCCCCTTGTAGCGCTTGTACCTACCATTACCTAACTACCATTTCACCGGATGCGCCAACGGAACCTTCGTCTTTTCTCGCTCGTTTCACCGGATCGGTCGTGATACAAGTGGCCTCAGGAATCCGAAGGGACACTCAACCCGCGCTGCCTTGAAGGTGATGCTTAGACCGAGCACATGAGCTATGATCAAAAGAGGACGCATATGGATGTTCCCATAGTGGACATGGGACATTTACTGGCTTTGAGGGGCTTCCTGTTTCAACTTGTCTGGTTTTCCGTTGCAGCTGCTTTGCTATCGCATTGCAAATGCGATTGCACTTGTGTTGCAATTGCACTGCAATGATTCTTACGCGCAAGAGGTAGTCCTGAATTTGACCTACCGGATAATTTCACTCCTAAAAATCCGTGTCCTCCCAAATGGTCGGTAACCTTTTTGGGTGTGTCTTTTTGAGGGTACCCCTGTTTGGTTGGCTTTGAAGGGAAAGGGAAAACCACAATTTTGGGGGTCCCCTAAGCAAAAACACACCCTTTTGAGTCCCTTCCTTACTGCGCCACATTGGATCCTCACATTGTCATTTAGCCTCGGTACCCTTGGGTTTGAAGTATCTTCTCAAAGCACATCTGACCATGGCACATGTGGGTAAGATGAATTAGTTGGACCTTTTGATGGACATCATTGCACATGGGGATCAATGTGCCCCAACTATTTCTTGTCGGCTTCCCATGCGTCTAGACATGCTGAGCAAAGGAGAAAAGCTACCCCTGCCATGACTGAGCATGGCTATGTTGGTATCAAGGATCCCCAAATAAGAGGGATCGTCCTCCTTCCCAGCGCAAAATCCGCTTTGGCATGGGGAAATCCGCCCTCGCCGGCCCAAATCAGAGGGCGTTTTTGGGGAGCCCAAATCGAGGTGAGTCGCCGGGACCCAGCCTGACCACCACAAGCATACCAGCGCACAGAGGGCCGAGCTGACTACATAGCGCGTGCACCAGAGATGTGATTGATTTGTGCTTCCCCTTGGTGAATTAAGGGTTTTGGGAATGAACCGGTTTTGGGAATTCCTTCAGGTGAATTCTCTGACCGAGAAAAGGGTTTTGGGAATGAACCGGTTTTGGGAATTCCTTCAAAGCAAACCATGGGGGATGTGTTTTTTTCTCTTGGGGTCACTCCCACTCATTCCCTGCTGAACAGTTTTCACGCGGAGAAAAGCCAGCCTCCAAACAGGTATGTGCCAAAATGGGAGGACCCCGAAAAACGGGTGGCTCCGATGGTTTCCCTTTGAATCAAGCTGAAAATGTCGCCCGGAGAAACATGCAAACGGCGTTGGCTCCAAGTGAACAAAAGATCCTTGACCACGGTGCCCTTTGCCTCCACCAAAAGGCTGGGTCCACACTGGGCCCTTTCCTTGCTAAAGGGTAAGTTTCCAGTTCTTCGACACGCTGCAATATGTACATAATATATATATATATATACTTGTTCTGCACATATATATATATATATGTATAATATACATATATACGGCTGTGAAGGGGCCAAGTGATGAGTACTTCGGCCAGCCATGAAGCCTTTAAGTCTCTTTTCGGAACCGACGTACTTGAAGGGCTCGGGGCTCGGTTCGGAACGCTTCTGCTTCAAGAGGGGCTCATGTTCGACTCGTGGCAGGAGCTGTCTGTTGAAACGGGGGGCAGTTCTCCCATATGGCTGTGGGTCGAAACCCAAATCGACCCCCGGTGAACATCCGATTCAATCCAACCACTAATATAGGTTCTAAAATAGGCTCTAAAATGGGGGGTGAATTCACCTACCAACCAAAATGGTACCATTGGTTTTGACCCATGGCCATATCCCGAACCCATGAACCATCTGGATAGTGACCCAGCCGGGAGCCAAAGGGCTCTCGGGAGCGTGGAGTGCAGTGTCGGCCGGCAAGCGCAGCATTTGAACCCCATGCCGAGACATGGCTTCTCATGTGCCTTGCCCCCATTTTTGGGGAAAACAAACACGGTGTGCTTGTGGCTTCCCCGAAGGAACCCGCGCAACACGGGAACTTTGGGCGGCTCGTCCCTCTGCCAGCTCCATGCACCTCTCACCAATTGTCAAACGCTTCCCCGCCTCAAGCAATTCTCCTTCTTCGACTCGTCGAACTTCGGTACTGCCCTGCCACGCAAAGTATGCCCTCCTCCAAATTACTTCCGCTTTGCCAGGCTAGTTTCTTGTGAAATCGGGCGTTCCACGGCAAACAGGGATCCTTAGATTATACACCTGAATCTTGCCTTGTAAATGGTGGTTTCCCCTTGGCGCGCAGAGGTGCATCCTTCCCAGGGTTGCTGCTCAACATAGGATAAGGAACCTCACAATGCTTTTCTTTTTGGCGGTCCCTTTAAGATCCTCCCCAAGTTGAATATGCCTCGTTGCTTCTATTTCCCGTTGGGTATTTCTGATTGAATTGTTTAGCGAGCTCACCCATGTCCCTCCCACATATTTACTGGGTGTCGTTATTCGTTCACCCCACAAAATGGTTGGTGTCCTTCTTGTTTCCCTTTGAAACCAACCTAAAGATAGTTCCCAAAAAAAACCCACCCACCTATAGACGGATCTCATATGCACATGGCCAGGGGTCAAAATCCCGTACCATTGGTTTTGACCCACAGCCACATTACAATCAAGAAAGCGAACCGTGCTTCCGCGCATGCCTCGTGTCCCAAGCAAGGCGGGCCCGCCGTGGCGAATTTCGCCTCAAGCACTATGCTTTCGCTGCAAATGTAGTGCCTTGGTCAGTCGTCACTCGAGAAGTGCGCGGTCAAATCTGGCTCGCATCGTTGTGTGACTTTCCGATGAAACTCCAAAAGAGGTCCTCAATCTAGATGTCCTGCTCGGCCACATAGATGGATTCTACTGATGAGAACTAATGGGATCAAACCAAACGGAAACCCAATGGGTTCAATTTTCAACCCAAACGGAAACCACTCCGAAACGATCCTCCAATCGCATGGCACCTTTTCGAAACGGCGGTGCCTCTCGGATTCCTCGGCGTAAGAGGTCCCCTGGTTTCCTCGGCCGGGGCTCGGGCTTGAGGGGCTCGAGATGGCTCGAGCCTTCAATGAGGGGTCACTATGGATCTGTCTTTTTTTGTCCCCCCGTTTTGGTGACTCGAAAGGGAAACCAAAAGGAAAGCCGTTGATTTCCTTCCGTTTATTTTTTTTTGGGGTGGGTGGGGGGTCCAATTCCTAAGAAAGAGAGACCAATATTTAGTGTGTGTGTGTGTTTCTTGTCATAGAATCGACAAGGAAACCAATTCCTCGGTTCAAATTTTAGACCATACCAGGTTTTGCTCCTGGCTCTTGGTATCCCCTGTAAACAAGGTGGCGCTAAAGGCGGCGCCCAACGAGTCACCAAACAGGGCCCATTTTGGCAACTCCCCATAACCGACATTGGAATTTGGTGAGTCACCCCGCTCCCCATTTCTTAAGCTTGATGAGTGGATCCAATAACATGCCCTTTACAGAAGATGAAAGTGATTATGCACATGTTAGTCCGGGGTAGACAAAAACCCTGGAATAGGTCTCTCTGGGTTGGAATTCTGGGGTTTCCAGCAAACAAGGTGACCGTGTGTACTTTGAATATGACAAGGGCGCCTTGGCCCCCCACCCTCCCCCTCCAAGGGCTATGGTAATTCAAGCGACTCCATGTCAGAATCTTTTGCGGACCTCTGCAAAAAGGGAACCGGCGTTCTTCAGAAGGATCTCTCTTGACTCAGAGGACCACGTGCTTCCAAGAAGCCTTTGATGGTCAACCATCCTTCTTGGCCATCCTTCTTGGCCTCAGCTCACGTAAGCCGCAAGCACGTTTCTGCCAAATCCTTCTTCCCCTTCCCTTTGATTCCTCTCTGAGATGGCTTTGACCACCCCAAAACCATTCCCCCCAAGGGAAATCAAGGTGTTTGTTTAAAGAGGAATCATCATTCCGGGGTGTCTTAGGTGGTGCGCTGATCACACTTCCCAAGTGGATTGGCCAAACAAGTCTCCAAATTTGATCTCTTTGCCACCAAAATCGGTTTCAACCCCAAAAGTGGTACAAAAAACTCAAGGTTTGAGTAAAATACAAATGCTCTTGGCCCCTCACCTTTTCCTCGGTGTTTGTAGTTATCCGGAAACCCCTCCAAGCTTTCGGCTCCGGACCTCCCACTCGCCCCCGCTCCGACTCGCTCCGACCCGCTCCGACTCGCTTGAATCGCTTGGGGCGCCGGGCCAACACCTTGGCGCGGCTCAGACTCCGCACGGCGTCCTCTGAAGGGCCCTCCAGGATGTCCAGAGCTTCGCCCACCTGCAGCGAATCGAAGCAAGGGGTAACCAACCAACCAGAGGGACCAGCCCTAGGAAAAAAACAAAAAAACAACAATATAGAAGCTGCAAAGGTAGCCAAGTAAAAGAAGCATGATGTAAATGTGTAGAGGTAAAAAAATGTTATGGGCCCGCCGTCCCCAAGCCCAACGTTGGTTTCGAAAATGAGGGACCCCTTCGGTATGTGTCAAAATTCAAACTACAGTAACCTACCTGAAAAGGGCAACTCCAAATACCTTCCCACGAACGAGATTGATCAAAAGGTCCCTCGGACATAGGATGGCCATTGGTTGGAAAGCCACAAAGATGATACTTCCCACATGGGAATCGTTACCCATGGTCATTTGGGGCCAGGAATATTGATCAACCCCCAATGGGAAGCCATGAGGTTAGATGTTCCGGGGGCGACCCGTTCTTTACAAGAACCTGAAGTCCCATCACCAATCAAAACCGACTCATCAGGTGAGCCCCACTTGGCGATTTGAGTTGGTGGTTTGTGGGATTGAACCTCAGGTTATTGTAGGGGCTACATGGGAAACCACCCCCCAGAACGCCACCAAACCACAAATCTTCCTGATCATTTGAGCCGACTGGACCAAGCCTTGGGCAGTTTTTTCCTGTAGATTCGGAGAACCACAAAACCATCATTCCAATGGATCAAGTCGCCGACCCCAATGACTCATTTCGGGCATCTGGGAACACGAAAAATGAAAGAAAGCTGGCCCTCCGGTTCTCACCAGACTCCCAGCTGAGGTTGGGGAAAATTGCAAACCTTAGACACATAAAAATATCCGGTTTCCTTCGGTCTCTGTTTAAAAGCGCAACCCCAATGGGGTTCAATGGGATGCATATGTATATATATATATACTAGGGTGAACCCGGCTCTGCGCCCTCCAGCCCCCTCGCAGTCTAACCCAGGACGTCTTGAGACGATTCAAGGTGAGCACACGCGCGGCCAGGTGCAGAAGGCAGTAACGTGCGAAGTGAACGGCTCTTCTCGCCGCGGTGGAAGGGTTGTCGATTTTGACGCAGGCTATTTTTCTGACAAGCTGGGGTGGGTGGGGGGGTGGAGGGGTGGGGATGGTAAGTGCACATGTGCCATGCATCCATGCATTGCGTAAAAATATTGCTCTGCGCTCACTCCCTGTGTTTGTCTCTCGTTGTGCTTCTGCGCGTTGCCGGAGTCTCGCCACCGAACCGTTCATCCATCCAGCTTTCCGCGTGGCACGCTTGCCCGTTCTATCTTGATCAGCACATTGACCTGTTTTCTGCTGTGCCTGCTGCGGATTCCGTTTTGGCGTTCGTCATCGCAGCACCTGATCTTCCGCTCTCCCATTGACTCCGCTTCGTGTGAGGTTCGTTCTGATCTGCGGCTGTCTTGGGCCTACGTCGCTCGTGCCCGTGGAACATCGCCGTCCGTCGTACCTGCAGCTGCGTTTGGTCTCGACGCGTGCTGGGGCTCCAGCAGCTTGCCAATGGCCATTGGTGCGCAAAAGCTCAGAGCTGTGGCGATCGTGAGAGAAAAAGTCAAAGAGTCTCATGGGATGGAGGGTGTGTTTCTCACACATGCGAGGAGGTGTCTTTCTTTTCGGGGCAAAGCCTTGTTTTGATTGCCTTTTTTTATGCTGGACCCGAAATGTCAAACACTGAAACGTTTGCATTTTTCAAAAAAGCCTCTTCAAAATCAACAACCCTTCCAGGCGGCGAGAAGCGCTAGTGCCTGTTGTTGATAACGTTCCGGGTTCCATTACAAAAGTAGGTGTTGCGGCTTCCAAACTGGAGTTGTCGCTGTCATTTAACGGCATTAAAGTTCTATGCAACACGAATTGTACGAAATGGAACTTTTCGAGCCCGGCATGACTCGTTCTGCTTTTGACGGTCTTGGTTGACTAAAGTGGCACCAGCGCGTGAGTCAAGGACACGTTTTCTTGGCTGAATGGTATCGATGCTACCTGAAGACGCACACACACACACACATGTGTTTACATATGCATACATATGGTGCGGGCGACCATGGCCAGACGGGAGCTTGAGGAAGAAGGGGGCTGGCGCAAGTGCAGCGGCAGGAATCGAACCTGCGGACCTGGGCCCAAAAACCAACAAGCAGTCGTCCCAGCTGGATGTCAGAACTCCACTCAACCGGGGAGAAAGCCCACTAGTGTTAGTCTACGTGCCCCTGATCCAGTAACCTCCCCGCAGAAGCCAGGAATGTCAAAACTTTTCTCGAGTCGAGTGGAGTTTTGACCTCTAGCTGGGAAGGCCCTTTGAGTGGAGAGGCCAATGAGGGGAAGGTACAGAGCAAGGTACGAAAATAGAATGTATATATATATATAAATACATATATAAATACATATATATATATATGTATATATATATATATATCCCGTCCTAGCCTCCTGCAGAGGGGACCGGCGTGGGATGCAACTGGAATGAAGTGATGGAAAATCCATGATGATTTTTTTTGTACCTGGAGGACACACCCGAATGCACGACTGACTTGCGGACCGGTCGGTCCCAAGACCACGGACTCAGTGAGAGGGGCGTCGGATGATCCGGGTCCAACAGGCTCCGGTCAAGGGCCAGTTTCTCGGATGCAACTTGATGTGAATGAGGCGATTAACGGACGCGCTTTTGAGTGTGTGACTTTTCCGCTAATGCCGCCCCAGCGCCACGCTTGAGCTCGTGGCTGCAGACAGCCCTGACCCACAGCCTAACTGCCGAGGGGCGGCGGCAGCAACCGGGAGCCGCGTTAATCCGGCTACGCCTCCTGAGGTAGCATGTCGCCGCTAGGCAATTAGCCTGCTAGCTTTAGCTATGGGGGCTGCACCCTGGTGCCGCCGACCCTCGCCACTTGGTCGTGATGCGCTGCCAAAATCCGGCACCTCTGCTTAAAAAAAAGTGCTTCATGGGTTGAGAGGCTTTTTGGAAGGAAGTCTTGATGATGCAAACCAAGCCCCGCTGGAGCATCACCCAGGCCCAACCCAGACCCTGATGATGTCAGCCACATGGCCTAAACCTTGTATACGCGATGTTTTGCGAGGGTTTCGCACAGGCAAGCAAAACCGCAAGCCCGAGGCTCATTTTCGCGCATTTTGCCGCCAAGCGCTGCCGGGCAAGCCGGCAATACTGGGTCCTCGCTCTACAAAACGCTGTACATACCGTCAAAAACTGCTGCGCTGAGCGGTGGGCTGTTGTTCTGTCCGTTTTGCTTTTGCTGTGGCTGGCTCGCGCGCTGCGCGGTCCTTGCTTTTTCCCGTTGGTTTTCGGGCCTTCTGGCGCGCGCGAGCGACCCCAGCCACAGAACGCTGATATTTACGGTGTTTTGTTGCGTTTGCGTTTCCGGGCTGGCTTGCGGGCTGCTCTTTTTGGGCTGCTCTTTCTGGGGTCTCTGGCGCGCACCTGCGCGAGCTTGAGCTGCTTTTTTCCAGCGGTTTATGCCTTTTTTGCCTCGTTGATTTTGTGGCAAAAATGGGGGGGGGGGGGGGCATATGTAGATATGCATGTGTGCGTACACATGTAATGTAAGCAAAGATATCGAATTCTGCATCTGACACATATTTTTTGGGGAACTTGAACCTTGAATCTTGAATCCCAGAATTGTTCTTTACCAAAAAAAGTTGTCCCATACTCTAGGTGTTCAATACATGCTTCTGCAACCAAGCACGCGCACCCATCCGCAGTCATATGCATTTCTCCAAGTTCCTGCAATTTCTGGATTCAAAGTCAGAGGAGACCAGATGTTCGGAAAAGGTTTCAATCTTGAATATTCAATCCAGTGGTAAAATACTTGCGAGGCGTTGGAACAACTTGAAAGTTTTTTGGCGCTGGCCCAACTTGAAAGTTTTTCGGGGCTGGCCAGGATCAGTAATTCTCAGGAAAGTTGTTGTCGGTTCAACCTTCAATTTTTGGCTCCTCAATCCAGTGGCAAAGCACTTTCAAGTATTAGAAGAAATTGAATGTTGTTTGGGTTTGCCCAGGATTGACGATTGTCAGGAAAGAGTTCTGTGTGTTCTTCAGTCTTGAATCTTCCACCCAGTGGTAAAGTACTGTCAGGCGCTTAGCGATCCAGTAGAACCGCTTTCAAGTTCTTAATTAGACAAACTGTTACGAGCTGTTTGCTTCATGTAAGCTATGCTCATGTTGACCCTTTTCCAGGAGGAAAAGGTAGCTGTAATGCTGAAAACACCGCATTTGTGAGCCTTTTTATGAACAGGCGCGGGATCATTAGGGGTACTATATATGTGTGGTTGTATGTGTATACACATAAACATATATATAGATATATACATATGTTCACACACCGTCACCCCCCCCTTCTGAACTGCCTGTCCGCTTCTGCTCATCTACTACCTCCGCGTTTTGAGATAGAATGAATTACGATTTCCTGCAAAATAAGACTTTAAATGCAGTTGATTTCGCTAGAATCCCTGTCTCGAGGTAGCTTTAGAATTTGAACCTCTCTTTCCTTGAAATGTCCGTTTTAGAACACCGCTTACAATTTTGCAGAAGGGCCAGAATGTACATGACACTTGACACAAATCGTATTTTTGAACTTCCCATTTGATAATTAATTTCAAGTAAATTATTATCAAGTGTTAAGTGACTTGGGTCCTAAGAGTTCCAGGAACTGCTTGAAGATGCCCTGCAGCTTCGTAGGAAGCCAAGTGTACAGGAGTTCCCCCTCCCCCCCTTTTCCGCCTACTACAGCGCTCGACGCAGCGAGTAGTATGGATTGGGGAGGGGAGCTCCTTGGTGAGGAGGTGCTTCAAGTTGCATAGGGCCGTGCCAATCTAAGATCTTGAGGAGTGAGGTGTGCACCACCTGGTCTTTTTCCTAAGTCCTGGCAGCCTCGTTTCGCAATGGCGAGCATGGCCTTGGACCATGGCATGCACCTTGCCTTTGCGATGAAGGATGTGCCCCTGGTGGAACCGGACAACTTCCCGACCAAGCTTTTTGACAGTGTCAGATGCCTACCAAAAACAG